CGGACATAGAGGAGCGGTGCGTTGTTGTCGTCGTACCGCTGATTGCGAAACTCGCGGGCCACCTTGGTAACATACGCAAGGATGCCCCCCACCGCGACTTCGTCATCCGTCGGCGAAGTTGGTGGTGCATAGAAGGATAAGTACGTGTGAAAATGAGCGCGTAGTGCTACGCATTGCGGTCCCATCAAGCGGCCCGTGGTCGGGAGAAGAAGCCATGCGAAATCCTCGGACGTGAGCGGGTCCAATACCTCTATGTTGAACTCTCGCGCGAATCCCATGAAGAACCACTTGAAGATGATAAGTCGCTGCTGCCGGACGGAGAACATGCAACACACACATCTTGTCCTTGAGCATGAGTACCCAGAATAGGAACTTGTCGGGCAACATAGTCCTCAAAAAAATAAAGAAGAGGAGGACTATCGACTTCCGCATGTGCCTCAGAACGAAGGGCAGTCACCCGCGAAGCGACCAGTTCCGAAGGCGTCGAGAGTGTCGTCGAGTCACTCCCGGCGGTGCTCAATTTCTCGATTTGCCCTTGCCTTTCGAATAGCAGGTCATTGTGTCGTGTTGATTGTTGTTACACCACAGACAATAGCGGAATCTCGTGTGTGCATTGTACGCCGATTCCGAGATACCGTAATGGGACCATGGGGCTGGAGCTGCTGCACCGGGCCCGGGGCTAGATGCGGTGTTTGTCTTCGTCTTGCTGCGTCCTTGGCCTTTGTCGGGGCGACAACCTTTCCGGGCGGCTGTGAGTCTGTTCCCTTCATTGGCAGACACAGCCTCGCTAGTTTGGTCGCTTGGCGTTGCCGCCGCGACCACGACCACTTTCGGCCGATGTTGATCTCTGCTCAGGCCTGGCGCAAACGAACGCTGGAGATTCTTGGCCTCCTTGTTCGTCACAATAATCTGCGCGGCCTTGTCGAAGAGCTCCGCCAAAGTGTCCTCGATGTGAGTCAAGGCACTGCCCAACGCCGGACACGACCTCGAGATGAAGTAGTGTTTAATGGCCTTGAAGCCCATTTGAATGTCTGGGACGGATGTCAAGTGTTGGTACTCAGCAATCCAGTCAATACTTGGCATCGTGCCTTGTTCGAAGACCATGAGCTTGTCCATTGCCTAGATCTCCAGCGACACTACTTGGAACCGCTTATGCCACGCCGCCTTTATCATCCCAGCTGATCTTGGTATGCAAGTCGGCAGCTACCACTCCGTACTTGGACAAGAGATTGTCCAACCATGCTTGGCACCCGCCCCTCGAGCGGGAGTATAAGTATCCGTGTTGCTTGTGCTCGCTTAGTGTAGCTGCAACGTGAGCTTGAACTTGCGGAACCATGGAATCGGGTCCGTCTTCGTCGAGTCGCAGAAGATCTCCTGCCCATCGAACTTTGGAGTTGTCTCGTGCGGTCCCAAGCTCGAGTGGGTGGCGGCAGTACAGATCCGTTGCTCCAACTGTTGCGTTGCGGTTTGCTGTAACTGCACGCCGTCCTTGAGGGATCCGACATCCATCTCCAATGCTTCAAGGCGATCGGAGGTGTTGGAAGAGTTGGCATCGAGGGTGACAACAGGTCACCGCTCCAGCTGCCGGAGGCGGCCGTGGACTTGAGTCAACGCGCCGTCGAGGCAGTGGATGTCCTCCTGCTGTGTAATGCATGTTGCCAGGAGGTCGGTGAGATGGGAGAGTAGAGCAATCTTGTTTTCACTCTCTTCCATCTTGCCATTCTCGGCCTCGGCCCGCCAATCCGCTGCCATTGTGAGCAAAGCTTGCTCCCCGCTGAAGATCTTCTCGCGACATTGAACTCGTTCTTCATCGGCAGCCTTTGCTGATGCCTTGTCGTGCTGGCGCTGCTGTTCAATTGCCAGCAGACGTGCCTTCTCGGCGTCCTCTGCCTTCTTCTTTGCTGCGGCTGCTACTGCATCCGGCCGTAGCTTAGCTTCGATAAACAAAAGCAGCATCCGGGCTTGATAGGCCTCGTCCGTTTCCCCAAACTTCTGGCCCATAACAGTTGTTTGCGAGCGGGAAAGCATAGACCAGGCCGAGGGCCTGCTGACGTGGCACTGCTTTCAGCTGTCGTGGCCTGCTGACGTGTCCTGCTGACATGGCCTGCTGACGTGGGTCTGCTGACATGGCCTGCTGACGTGGTCTGCTGACGTGTCCTGCTGACGTGGCAACTCACCAATGCCGCCGAAGGGGGTACCCGGAGACAGATAGAGAAGTTAAGACCAGAGGGGGCAACAACATAGGTGGGGAGGGGTGGGTGGGATTAATCGCCCAGATAAGAAGCCACTAGTCAAAAAAAAAAAGTTTTGAACTTTGCAAAAAATTTGGAGAAAATGAAAAAAAACACTCGTTTGCAAGTTCGGTAGGTCTCCCAAATCCCTTGAAGTGCGATAGTATCAATGAGAAAAAATTTTCGAACTTCAGACTGCCAATGATTATCAGGTAGTGAAAATCATAGAACTGCGAATAAAAAAGTCCCGAAAAGAAATAACCAGTATTCGGACTTACTCAGATGAGAGTACTCGCAGCTTGGAAAATGGTACTGCGAGAGGGATTTCCCGTACCGTTTGAAAAGAACAGGTTTCAAATAAATATTTCGAACTTCCAAATACAGGAAATTGCAAAAGGAAATCGAAATTTTCAAAAAATAGATATTCTCGATTCTCTAACAACGAAATTTTGAATTTTCAAAAGAAAAACGAAAACGGAAATTTCAGATATTGCGCTATTGCGATTTTCCACAACAGAAATAGCGAAAAAAAAAAATCGAAGAAAAAAAAAAAAAATGATTTTCGACAGTGAGGTCAAAATCGTGATTTTGGGGGCTAACTAGTGTGCTCTAATCAATCAATCAAGACTAATCAACTACCTAGTCCCTGCACACGTGTCAGATCAGGTTGTCCTGATTCACGTGCGGTGTTCCGATACCAACTGTTACATGCCCAGTTGGGCGATGTACATATAAACCAAGGATCCGCAATGTGATAAAAAGGACCAAATGGGCAATGCAGTGCAAGTGGAATCTCAACAAGCAATGTGCATTCCGATACGTACAAAATGGTGCTTTATAGCGCAGGGAAGACTTCAGACACAAGTCCTGACCTGACCGGGACTGACCTCTTTCACATAGTACAAGATAACGAAGCAGAATGCTAGAATACTAAGGACTAGCCCACTCAATGTTTCAACGCAGACCAAACATACATCATGCTCATCACGAGGTGGGATGGGGCATGGCGCTATACACCGGAAGGAGGCGCCAGGTCCAGACATACACAGACGAAGAGGAGGGGATCAGACGAAGAAGAGGAAGGGGGAGATGGGAAAGTCGTCAACACCAGGTCTCGTTGCAAGTCCAAAATAATCCCTCTTCAAAATGTCTGAAGTCCAATGTCGAGTCTGCTGATGCAGTGAAGTCAGATAGCGAGGGGTGAGAAGGAGATGGTGGACTGAGAAGAGGAAGAAGAAGAACTCTCTCTCTCATATGCCAGGTACTAACCTGTGAAGATGGCGCTGTGCTGCAGGTACCTCGAAGACGAAGCTGGAGCAATGGCACTGCAGGTAAGTCCCTCTGGCCTCCGCCTAATCTCTCTCTCTAGCACTACTCTAGCTGCTATGGCACCCAGCGCTGAAGACTACAGCTAATGCTATTAGCGCCCAGCGCAGAAGACTACTGCTAACGCTACTACTACTCCTGCAGCGCTCCTCCAGAGTGCTGCTGCTGAATCCTGAAGACTACCTCCTGCCTCCTGAACCGCACGTGAAGTGCCTGGGAAGTACCTAGGAACTACCTGCCGACCTGCAAGGCGAGCCAGTGTTATATAGTGCTGGCCCGTCCAGGAGGCTGCTCTTGCCAATGCCTCAACGTGCCACACCCTGGGGTTGAAGCTCAAACATAGGTTGTCTTGAAAATAGGCCAGAAATGGCCTGAGCTAAAACCCTGGTCTGGTGCCTGAGTTTCAGGGCAGGTCCGTCTTATGAGGGCCCGAAAATGGCCCTCAGTTTCAGGCTGAAAACACTCAGGGCCGGAAAGGCCCTGATTTAGCCTGAAACGACACAGGGCCTGTAGGCCCTTGTTTTCAGGCTTTCAGGCTGAAACGACACAGCGCCTGGAAATGGCCCGTGCAGCCTGTTGCAGGCGCAGCATGTAACAGCCATGGTTGTTTAATGCATCCGAAGTTACCAGAATCTCCTTGCACTTGACTGCTATTTTTGGGACTTGGACTGTCAAGGACTTGCCATTCCCAGCAACCGACCAGACTGACTGTTTAGACGCACCCTACAGCTGCAACTGCATTACAGGGCGTACCAGTTGGGCTATGATAGATGGGACTCGGGACTTGAATTCTGGGACCGACACTAAGACTTCAGCTCAGAAATGCATGAAATCCTTTCAACTGTGTCTAGCCATCAAACAAATGGACACTACCTTGCATTCTGGCACTCTGGGCCAAAAAGATTGCCCTCCATATCTTTCCCTCCCCTCCCCCCCCCCTCCTCCTCGAGGTGGTAATAGAGGAAGTGTCAGTAGCATTTTGGAAGTTGTGGAGATATGCAGTGTCAAAAAAGGAAAAAAGGAGGAGTTAGAAAAACAACAACAACCAGTGGTTATGACAAACATTCACATGACTTCAGTATCAGCAATAGTCAAACAAACATCTACACACAGAGTTTCTTGTTTGGTTTGTAGTAAGGGAGCTGAGCGAGGAGCTCCCATCAGAGCGGTCAGAGATACTTATAGCAGATGTTCTGATAACTATGTACTCAATTGTGTACTCAAGGGACGCTGGACCCGATTTCCAGCAGGTGAAGCTCCCCACCAATAGATGGCGCAGCTACCAGCAGGCTGCTAGGGAAGGCTGCTCTTATCACCTTCCCTAGCAGATCTGCACAGGCCTTGAAACAAAAAAGAAAAAAAAAAAAGAAAAACAAAGTGACAGAGTAAACAACGACAGAAATGTGAGATGCTGAGCATAGGAGAGACAGCTTATCACCTCACCTCATCAAATGGGAGCGAGCTTGGGTTGGTGGACAGCTGCTTCTGAAGAGCCTGTTCCATTCATTCATTGCAACGACAAGGCAAAACAAAGTGTAAAAACACCAGACGAATTGAGTTGAAGAAAAACTTACCAGCATTTTGTCGCAAGACGTACACGCATACACACCTGTCTCTTATACACATCTAGATGTGTATAAGAGACAGTTGGTGGACAGCTGCTTCTGAAGAGCCTGTTCCATTCATTCATTGCAACGACAAGGCAAAACAAAGTGTAAAAACACCAGACGAATTGAGTTGAAGAAAAACTTACCAGCATTTTGTCGCAAGACGTACACGCATACACACCAAGTGCCACCATATATCGTCTGGCTAGCAACAGCCTGAGGAGGTTCCCGATTACCAGCAGGTATTAATAAAAAAAAGTGTTTGAGATGTACGGGGCACAGCACACGGCTTCCAACTTATATTGATTGAAAAAAGAGGTTTTAAATTTTAAATTTTAATACCGTTTATTTATTTTAAATGAAAAACTTAGGCCGGCACTTCCAACTTTTTTGCCCTGACTTTCCTCCACCTATCCACCTGAAAAACATTATTCAAGATGCGCATGAAAAAACAGACTTGATCTGATGGCGAAGGAGTCCTTTCCCATTTCCCACTGGCATAGCTTGCGCAGACAGAGGGAGGAGGAAAAGGCAAAAGAAACAGAAAAAAAAGAAAAACAAAAAGAGAAGGCATGCACATTGCACACTGAGGGCAGGTTAACGGAGGCCCACAATCCATGGTAGCCGGCCAGACATCTGGATCAGCATAGGGGGTCCGGTATCCGGTCCAGGACGTTTTTAGGGTCCTGGGCGCCCCTCAAAAAATACCAGGGCCATTTTTTGGCCTCTTTTCGGCCTACCGGACAGGGCCTACAGGTCCAGACACAGTCACAGCTCATAGAGCTGTTTGATGTTGAGTGGCGGGCATATTTATCCTTATGAAATCTAACTCTAAATTGTCTATACCATGCTGCGTTTCCTATATTTGTTTCCAACTTCACGGCGAGCCTCCAGAGGCTCGCTAGAGGCCTTCGTTGGCTCTCGCAACAGTCGAGCCTCTTGGGATAAGGTAAGCAAGGTAAGCTATTGTTATAGAAATGTTAATTTTGAATCGTCCGTTATGGAAGTCCCGCCCACTGCCGCTGCCCGTTCGGAAGTCCCACCCACTGCCGCTGCCCGTTTGGAAGTCCCACCCGCTCGCTGGCAAATGGGGCAAGACATCCCACTGATGTGCACGCTCGTGCGCAAGAGAGAGAGAGAGAGAGAGAGAGAGAGAGAGAGAGAGCTGACAGCACTGCCAGTCTGAAGACTCTGAAGCTCTGAACTGAACTTCCAAATTCAACTTACATGACGACTCTCTTTGAGTCTGTTTTCCAAACTCTTTTGAAGTTCCTTTTTTATATCTTGTTCCGTGTGTCTTTTGCCAGCTTTGCACTGTTTACAACTCTGCATGTCTGTCAGTTGAATGTACTTATTGGTTTGCTGCAAGACAGGTGCTCCACTGTTCGAACTCTGAAGTTCAGTGTCGGTGAGTGTCTGCTGTCCAACCCCCCCGCCCCCCCCCGTCCAGACATACGTCCAGAACACAGTCCGGAAGTGTCTGGCGTCCTGGTCCGTGGTTACCATGCCAAAATCTCAGCGTTTTTCTACTATTTATAAGAAAACCCAAAGGCCTTTTTAACCAAACTTGGCAGCAGTCCATAGAGCACACACCATATTACGAGAGCAGGTTAACGGAGGCCCAAATCTCAGCGTTTTTTAAATTCTTTTACTACGAAAACCCAAAGGCCTTTTTAACCAAACTTGGCAGCAGTGTATAGAGTGCACACCATATTAACAAAGAACGAAAAAAAAAAAAAGAACAGGGGGAGGAAACTGTGAGGCAAAGTGCACTTGAATGGAAATTTGTGTTCAGAACATCTTCAGAATTTTCAGTAACTTTAGAAATGGTCACCAGAGACAATTCCAATGAACCAAAAGACTTCCGAGCTTTAGGAAATGGTCACCAGACTCACCACAATATGTATTATTTTTATCTGTGAAACAGAAACAAAACCGTTTTGCTCTATGATGGCACTCGCTTGCTCTCCAACTCAGCTTACTATTAGGATAGATTGATATTTCTGGATATATGCCCCTTTCTCCTGCATACTTGAGCAGTACGAATCCCTCGGCGGTTGCCAGGCAGTGAATCCCTTTCCGCATATCAACAAGTTAAGTGACGTGACCTGCTCATTGAACGCCTACAATTCAACTTTTCCCATTAGGGCGTAGTTGTCAAGATGCCATTAAAAGCTCTGGCCAGCAACTCTCGTTTTGTGTTGCTAAGACATCACGACAATGTGCTCCACTCATAAAAAACTGCCAGTAGGAATTTTAGTTTTCTTTATGGTTGCTTATCTCACTTTACACAGTGAAGTGCGCGCTCTGCAAGCGCCGGAAAGAAATTACAACACTCAAATAGAACAATTTTGTCGATTGGACCCTTCATGTTTTGTAACAACTAGAAATACAAAATCACTAAACTTGATACGAGTTGTCAAAAGCATCCTTATCATTTAGTTAATTCAAGCCCATGGTCTATTTTTGGTTCACTAGGAGCTTTAGGAAGTACAATTGGTGGTGTTATGACCGCAAATACGGCCGGACCTAGATGTATATGAGCACAGTAACGCCCATGAATAAGTGAAAAAAGTCCTAGTATGAGTACGCCCTGAATCAGACTAAGATAGAGACCTTTTAAATCTGTAAACCGTTCAGTTAAAGGCGGCTTAACTTCCCAGGGCGCTTGCAGAGCGCACACTTTACTGGTCTAAATTAGGGTGTATGGCTTCAGTCTATTGGTGGGGAGGTGAACCTGGTCCTGCAGGATATCACGCGCAGCATCCCGAAAACACAAGTGGAGTATTATTATATGATGTGTGAGGACGCCGCCCGGCCGGGCCTGCCCTGCTGGGCTGGGCCCGGCCGGTTGGGCCCGGAGGGGGGGCCGCCGGGTAAACCGGGCGGGACAAAAGAACGCCCAGAATTTTTTTTTTTTTTTTTTTT